CATATTCTATTGCTCTCATAAATCGAGGACTAACAGGTTTTATGGTGCTGTCATTGTTGCTGAGTCTCCTGGCTTCTTTGTTGGTAATTGAGTTTATTTTGTTGGAAATTCACAAAAAGAGAGTCTTTTTGAGCTGTGGCTGAGCACTTGTAGGGAAAAATAGAAAAGGTCATGTTTGCTTGAATCACAAAATTTCTTTTGGCATTTTACTGTTGTCTCTGTGTCCTTGTCTGATTTTGGAACCTGAGAAATGCTGTCTTCCTAACATGAGTTTGGGAAGTGTTCCCTCTTCTAGTTTTTGGAAGGTATGTGTGGAGCTGGTTTCTTTCTCTTTGGGGTTTATTTCATGGATGTTCATTCACTGTTTTCATCACTGTTACTGCAGAGGGGAGTTGTTTGCATAGAAACCCTGAGAGTCAGGCAGAAGCTCTCATATTCTTTTTTTTTTTTTTTAAGATTTTATTTATTCATTTATTTGAGAATGAGAGAGAGAGAGAGCACATGAGAGGGAGGAAGGTCAGAGGGAGAAGCAAACTCCCCGCCGAGCAGGGAACCCGATACGGAACTCGATCCCGGGACTCCAGGATCATGACCTGAGCCGAAGGCAGTTGCTTAACCAACTGAGCCACCCAGGCGCCCCAGAAGCTCTCATATTCTTCATCAGTTCCCATCTGGGGAAACCCTACTCCCATCTCCTTAAAGTTCTGAGTGCCCTTTGGGGGCACAGTCCTTCATATCAGACAGGCCTGGATTCCAATTCTAGCTTTGCTTCTGATTTTCTAAACTTAATTTTCTTGGAACATTTTTTAGGTTTACAGAAAAAAAAAATTGTGCAGAAAGTATAAAGGGTTCCCATTTATCTCTTTTGTTCCCCCTACACAGTTTCTCTTATTTTTTACATCTTGCAATAGTGTAGTCCATTTGCTAGAATCGGTAAGCCAATACCAATTATTAACTAGAGTCTGTAGTTTATGTTAGAGTCACTGCTTGGGCTGCACCATTGTTTGGCTTTGGATGGATGGTCATCGATTGACCATTAAAGAATCATACAGAAGTTTCACTATTCTAAACATGCCCTGTGATACATTTATTGATCCTGCCCCCTACACCCCCAAGCCCCTGAAAACCACTGATCTTTTTACTGTCTCCATACTTTTGCCTTTTCCGGAATGTCATAGAGTTGGAAATCATGCAGTATGTAGACTTCTCAGATTGCCTTCATTCACTCTCAGGATACTAGAGTCCTGGTTATTGTCAAGCCAAGGCTATTTCCCTCTCTAATGGGGCACTAACATGAAGACAATTGGGAGTTTCCTGGAGGAATGTTACATTCCTCCTATCACCCGTACTTGTCAATGGGCTTCAGGTTCAAAAGAAATCAAATTTTATTTATATTTCCTTCCGCCTCAGCCTCCCTCAATTTTATGGAGGGGAGGGTGATGTTAGGGCTTCAGGAAACTGAGTTTTGGGGCTCTTGGAAGTTAGGCTATTGATGAGAAAGCTTCTTCCTTGTAAATCACTAGGACATTTGTAAACTGAGACAGACTCCTGTCCTGCAAGACTGTGATCTCTATCAGTTAACCATTTGTTTTTCCTTTAGGGCAGCCAGGAGTGCCTGAGGAATGTCACACATACCAAATGCAGGGGGTGGGGAGGTGGGGGCAGTGGGGGGTGTTGGAGGGTGCCAGCTTCTGCTTTGTCCTCAGTGAGCCTTCTGCTCTCTCATTTTCATGGCTTGATAGCTTGATAGCTCATTTCTCTTTAATGCTGAGTACTATTCTGTTGTCTGGATGTACTAGTTTATTTATCCACTCACCCACTGAAGGATATCTTGTTGCATCTATGTTTTGACAATCATGAATTATGAATAAAGCTGCTATAAACACCTATGTAGATATAAATTTTCAACTTATTTGGGTAAATGTCTAGAAATGTGACCATTGGATTATATGGTAAGACTATGTTTAGCTTTGTAAGAAACTGTGTTTCCCAGTGTGTTTCCCATTTTTCATTCTCACTGGCAAAGAATGAAAGTTCCTGTGGTTCCACATCCTTGCCAGCATTTGGTGTCATCTGTGTTTTCAGATTTAGCCATTCTAGTAGGTGTGTAGTGGTATTTCACTGTTGTTTTAATTTGCAGTTCCCTAGTGATATAGGATATTGAACATCTTTTTATACGCTTATTTGCCATCTGTAGGTCTTCTTTGTTGAAGTGTCCATTCAGATCTCTTGCCCATTGTTTCGTTGGGTTGTTTTCTTATTGTCGAGTTTTAAGGTTCTTTGTGTATTTTGCATACGCGCCCTTTATTGGATATATGCTTTGCAAATAGGTTTTCGCATCCATGCCCCAGTCTCTTATTAATTGTATGAGCTGGGCCAAGGCTCTTAACCTTTCTCAGCCTTAGTTTTCTTGTCTCAGAAAATGAGTATTACAATATCCTACTTACTTGTAAGATCGTTTTAAGAGATAAAGATGACAAGTCATGTGAAGGAACCCAGGCCACTGTCTGGCTTGATAAAAGCTGGCCTTTTGGCTTTCCCTCCTCTCCCAACACCCAAGCATATGTCCATTTAACACTTCTCATGTTTTATATGTGGTTGTTTTCATCATCAGTGCTTTTTACACTTTAATAAAGTGTAAGAACTGTACACTCTGATTCAGTGGATCTGGGGCAGAGCCTGAGATTCTGCATGGCTAACAAAGCTCCAGGTGATGTTGGTGCTTCTGAGAACATGCTTGGAGTAGCAAGCAGTCACATGTCTGTCTCCTCCTTTACATCAATGCCCTCAAACTTCTGTCTTAACCTATGAGTGGGCTATGAAATCAATTTTGCGGATTAGCAATCATCATTTTTATACACGTGGAATACAATAGAAAATATCACAGGGAGTTAACCATTAACAATATTATTTCAAGAAAAAAGCCTTGGGGCGCCTGGGTGGCTCAGTTGGTTAAGCGACTGCCTTCGGCTCAGGTTATGATCCTGGAGTCCCAGGATTGAGTCCCGCATCGGGCTCCCTGCTTGGCAGGGGGTCTGCTTCTCCCTCTGACCCTCCTCCCTCTCATGCTCTCTGTCTCTCATTCCCTCTCTCTCAAATAAATAAATAAAATCTTAAAAAAAAAAAAAAAGAAAGAAAGAAAATATATTAAAAAAAAAAAAAGAAAGAAAGAAAAAAGCCTTAAAGTTACACACACACATCTGCACAATGTGAATATTGAGGTCCAGGTAAAGGCTGTTAATATTTACTGTATTACATCGAAAGAAGGCTAAAATCTTTGCTTGTTCAGGCATATATTGCCAGCCTCAAAAATATGTGTTTGTAACTGATAGGTAAATTAATACTGTTTATTGCAACTGGGGTGTAGAGAAAAGTAAGATAGGTAAGTTTTGAAAGAGTCTGAGTAATCCTCATGATGAAGCAAAGACACAGACTGGGCTTTGAGGAGTAGGGGGGATGACGCTTGGTAGAAAAAGGAGGGGGGTGGGAACGACCTTCCTGCTTTAAGTAGAAAGTGCAGCGGAGGGCTCACCTCCAGTGGGGAGCCAAAGGGAAAAGACGGTCCAGGAATGGGAGGAAACAAGGAGCCAGGGACGGGTTGTGAGTTTGGAATTAAAAGGTAAAAGCAGAAACACACTGTGGATTAGTTGGCGTGGGGACAGTAAAAGGAAATGAGGCAGGAAGCCCGGCTAAATTTCTCTCCTGTATTAATACAGGAATCAGCTGATAAGAGCCTGAGTTAAGTTAATGGCAGAGAAAATGAGGATCACAAATCGTTCCACAGGATAATTCAGTGCCCTAAGCTCCCCCTCTATTCGTACCGCTGTGGGGTATCCCAGTTAAGGTAAGGAAGCACACTTGTAAGCCTCTTTGCCTACCTTATCAGATGTCTCGTGATGAGGGGAATGACTCTACTTCGTCCCTGGGGTAGACTCAATGTGTCAGTAGAACATGAAGTAGAGAAGGGAGGGCTGGGGTGGGAATCGGAGATTCTAATCCACCTGTCTCTTTATCTCTGTCACACTCTTTCCAAACCTGTCCTCCACAGCTTCTCACACGGCCAAATAAAGACAGACCCACATCTAAACAAGCAGCACCGTTCGGAGTTTGACCATCCTCATGAGCTTCTGGTTATGCAGCCAGGCATGGAAGAGCTGGGAACACCTGAGAGATTTTCCAACCTGACTGTTTCATGTTACAGACGAGGAAGGGGGCGGTGAGCAGTACACATTACACATAGGGCAGCAACTGACCAGGGACAAGCACGCCGGGGGGGGCAGAGGGAGAGGGAGGAGCAGACTCCCCGCCGAGCAGGGAGCCCGACGCGGGGCTCGATCGCGGGACCCTGGGACCACGACCGGAGCCAAAGGCAGACGCTTAGTCCACCGAGCAACCCAGGCGCCCCACCACAGACGTCTTCTAAATGAAACAGAGGAGATCAGGGAAAGGATTACAACCCAGAACCTCTGCCTTCCAGACCACTCTCCTCTTCTGCTTGCCCCTCAGCTGGCTCTTCCCAAACCCTTACTACCTGAGAAAAATCCGAGCTCCAAATATTGGGGCCACACAGGGAAACTGGGGTTCATCCTAACACTCTAAGACGGCGCATGCTGCCGTTAGTAAAAGGTGAGTGAAGGAGGAAGATGAGTTGATGGGAAAGCCAGGAAATTCAATTCATTAAGATGTCAGAGCCCTGAAAAAACCGGGACCCACTTGTGAAACCCTGAAATAAAATAATGGGTTGGGCTGGCCACAGGGGTCCAAGGGTTCACAGAGAAGTGTGAGTACCAGAGGTACCAAGAAGAAAAACAGCTCCAGGAATCCCTTAAAGCCAGCAGTACTTCATTTCCTACAACTCCATTTTAGCCTGGCTGTGTTTTTTTATGTTGTTTGGGGGCTGTTTTATTAAGCCCATGGATCCCTCAGACAGGTATATAGCAAAAAGGTGAACTAAAAGGAAGAAAAAGATTTGCTATGCAATGGAGAGAATAAAGAAAAGGACTATCTTTTGTGGGGGGACTCTGGAAAACTCAGGTCTCTATATCTACGCCTGTTCCCTTTCTTCTTAGTTCCCGGAGGTTAAAAATGGACAATTGGAAGCCCAAGGGGAAGTTCCGAAGAGGGGGGTGACCCTTCCTGGTGTGTTGGAAATCCCAGGACTGGTGAGTCAGGAGGAAAGCAGACGGGGTCTCTTGGCTATAAGCATGTAAGATTTACATTCCTTGGTCCTAAAATCGAACAGACCAGGGCTGAATCTTGGCTCTTTCGTCATGGGCAAGTTCTTAACCTCCTCAGGTGGTTTGCATTTCAAAAATGAAGACAATGACCGTAACTTTGTCACAGGCTGTTTTGAGAATTAAGTGGGATAGTGCCACTCAATACAGTATTGTTAGCTTTAGGCACTTTGCTATATAGTAGATCTCCAGAACCTACTTATGTTGCATAAGCTAACAGTAGCGTATAACTAGTGGTATTGTATCATTTAAGGATAGTATTATATACTGTAATAGCTAATGGTATTGTATACTTACAATTTGCAAAGAAGGTAGACCTTATGTTAAGGGTTCTTACCACTAATGATAATTATAGTAATAACAATGGGGGTAAGAGCAAACTTTGGGAGGTGATGGACATGCCTCTGGCTTTGATAGTGGTGATGATTTCATGGGTGTCTAAGCACCCCCTAACTCATGGAGCTGTATACACTAAACATGTCCACTCTTTACGTATCAATCAGACTTTAATAAAATGGTTAGAAGGTTAAAAAAAAAACAAGAATGCCATCTTGCACTGTGATTTCAGCAGGGTGACCTCAATTCTCCTTGGTCGGTTTATGTGGTCTCCTCAAACAGATCTGTTTCTGAGTCCCTGGGAACAGAGAATAAAAGCAGGGAGATCCTTTTCGCCAGGGGGGAAGAATGAAACTGGCAGATTGAGTCTTGTGTTCAGGTAACATCCTGCCAGCCAAGTTGTGCCTGTTTGCAAAGGTCCTCCAATGGGATTCCTCAGAGGCCAGTCTGCATGGGATTCTCATGTCCCTGAGCCCGCATCTGGGAGCTTGGGTTGACTCTACATCACAGAGACTGCTCTTTGAACAAGTATTCCAGCACTCAAGCATCCGAAATAATGGTGCTCTTCAAAACAGATGCTCCTGGAGGCTAGTGCTTATTTCTTTGTTGGTAATGTACCCACTGTGTTAATTCCCACTCTGCAAAATATTGGGGATTCTTCCTTCGGTATGATCCCAGAGGCAGTTATAAATTAAAAACAGAAAAATTGCTCATCTTACATTTGGTTGCTGAATTGTGTTCCCCAACTTTATCAGTCATGTGATTTGTTTTTAATTTTTTTTTTTTTCCATGAGAACAATAATGAATAGGACTTATTAAGTATGTTAAGTCCCTGAGCTATGTGTTTTCCAACAACTTTCAAGGCGGGAAAGGTCATCCTGGACATAATCCCCAGTTTTTAGTTGTCATTCCAATAAGCTTCTCACTGTAGAGTCTCACTCAGAATTGTTTAATTCCAAAGTCAATAAAATTTCCATTAGGGTTAAGTGATTGTTTACCAAGTTTCAATCTATCTTTAAATGACCAAAAATTGCCAGAGAATGTGCTATGGGTAATTCTAAAAGAGGCTGTCTGACATATAACTTGAGTCAGCTCTATTAAAATAAATTTATATACTCACCTAATGTATAACTACTTTGAAGGAGGGGTGATTGCTCATTTCCTACCACATATTTCATGTTTAGTTGGGAAAATGATTTCCATCTCCACTCTAATCCATGGGTTCTCTCCTTATGCTGTATTCCATTTTATTTTTAGCCTGAAAGGAATTTCTAGAATGTTTACTAGGGTCTGTCTGGCTGCCTGTATGTTTACTGCCTGGTTCAGGGAAGACTGGTGAAGCTGTTATTAATTCAGCGCACCAGCATGCCCAGGTGCCTACCATGGCTGCAAGTCAGGTCTGAAACAGCTTTTCATATCTTTGAGCACCCTTCGAGTTCCTCTTCATCTGATGGTTGAGTAGCCTTTCACCCCAGTGATGCCACAGACAGTTTGCTCACCATTTAAAATAGAAAGCTGAGCTGGATTGGTATCCAAAGGTGATGTGGACTGCACCAAAAAGTAGAGCTTTAAGCTCTCACCAGGAAGCACAGCCCAAACTTAATGAAATGGGTATGAAGGAATCCAGAAAGTGCTTGGCACAGAGAAAATACTCTGTTGATACTAATGTCTTCCTGTTCTTCCTTGAATTGCCTGAATTGCATGTCATGTGCATACGTGGGCTGAAAGAGGTATTATTTCAGGAAAAATAGTCTAAGGATCATGTGCTTTTCGAGATATTCTGAACTCTATCACAGCACTGCTTAGATGGGTTGTAAATTCACTTCACAGAGCCTCTTGACCAGTGATTATCTGCTCTGTTTCAAGAAACCCTAAGGTTTCACAAGTCATCTTACAGAGTTTATATACATATAGCATATACATACACACATATATATGTGGATAGATAGATAAGAAAGAAGATATAGTGGGGAGATAATGGAGGGAGAGAGAGATTAGCACATAAAAGATTACTCAGAAATAACTATTTCTTTCATTTTTTTTCTGTTTGCCCTACGACTAGCTCTCTAATTAGTTTACAACTAGCTCTTTATATATTCTGGATATTAACCCCTTATGACCTATGTGGTTTGCAAATATACTCTTCCATTCTATAGGTGGCCTTTTTATTCTGGTGATTGTCTCTAACAATGCACAATATTCCTAAATTTGATGTAGACCCAGTAGTCTATGTTTGCTGGTGTTGCCTGTGTTTTTGGTGACATATCTAAGAAATCATTGCCAAATCCAATGTCATGAAACTTTTCTCCTGCATTTTCTGCAAGGAGTTTTACAGTCTGGAGTCTTACAGTTACATCTTTAATCCATTTTGGGTTAGTTTTTCTGTATGATGTAAGATAGAGTCCAACTTCCTTCTTTCGCAGGTGGCTGTCTAGTTCTCCCTACTCCAAGGCACATAATTTTTTAGATAGCAACGTAACTCAACTGCATGGCTCAAATATTAAGGTTAGTATTTATTTCATATTGTACATGTGTATTTGACATTTCTTTGTATTCCAGTGTCAATTAGATCTATAATCATAGCTGCTGCATCTGCTTGAAGAGACATGGAGTAAACTCTGTCTCTGATTCCTTGTCTATGGACAAGGATTTAGCTAGTTGGATTTAGCTAGGATACAGACTAGCACACCTCTGACCCTGTTACTCTCCTGGTTTGAGCTGGTATATGTTTGTATCCCTACTGAGGTTTTCATTTTTGCTTCTCCCTTCTCAGATGAATTTGTAATTATAGGTGATTTCTTTGGCCAATGTCCTGGATCCTTACGCCTTTCCCTACCTCCTCACTGTTACTATAGACAACTCTTAACTGAGAATTTTTCTTTTGACCTTCTCAGGTCTTTACCTCCCCAGGTATGGGAGCATGGAGTCCTTAAAATAAGGAGGAACATAACTACTCAAAAGAAGGTAGAGCCCTAATACTTTCATAGTGAGAAATATTTAGAAGAGCCAATTTTGAAAAAAAAAGAAAAAAGAAAGAAAATGCCATTTATCTACATTATATTAAGATTAATTATAAAATATAATATAATTATTCCACAAATTGTATGATGACACTTTAGACCCGTGGCAATTTTAGTTTACACTCAACTTGAGCCCCCATTCAGTACTGGTATTTACCAGTTTTACAAAATTTAACAAAACTGGTGTTTTATTCTTATTATTTTGCTTTACTTTCTGTACCAATTCTAACTTGGCTCATTTATTGAGCCAGTGTTTCTCAAAATGGGATTCATGGACTGGCTGCCTATGAATCATCTGCGTAACTTACAAAATTCAGTTCCTGGGTGGACCCTACGATGGGCTTCTCGGTTTGGAACAATCAAATCTCAATTAATTTTGAAAGCCCAGCACTTTAAATTTTGTTTTACAAGTACCATTGTCACTGATTTTTTATGTTACTTGTTCTTTAACTTGGCTGAGAGATTTATCTGAACTCTAGCCATTATCGTCTGTATTGATCTTGTGGACGGATCCCTGGCACTTTCTCTTCTTTTCCTGCTGTACCTGAATTCCCTGGATCCAAGGCAAATTTCTGCTTGTCTTCACTTGTCCCACACAGTGTGTGCTCTCTTTCAACAGTTGTCCGCCGCCCTCTTCTATTAACTGTCAGCAGTGCCTCCATCTCTTTCTTAGACTTGGCATTACTTGTCATCGGGCGCAAGCATCCACTGATTATTGAATAGCCATGTACTCTTCTATAGTCCTCAGTCCCCTTGACGTCAGGCAGGGCCATGTGGTTTTTTGGCTGATGGAACATGGGGCAAATGACTAAGGTCACTTTCAGGATGAAACTTTTAAGAGTTGGTGCTCGATTCTTAAATTCTCTTTTTTCCCACAGAAGCAACATGTAGACATGGCAGCCTAACAAATGCAAAACAGCCAGAATCGGGGCACTTGGGTGGTGCAGTCAGTTAAGCATCCGACTCTTGATTTCGGCCCGGGTCATGATCTCAGGGTCGTGGGATCGAGCCCCACATGAGGCTCCAAGCTCAGCGAGGAATCTGTTAAAGTTTCTCTCTCCCTCTCCCTCTGCCCTTCCCCGTGCTCATTTTTTCTCTCTCTTTCTCTCTCTCTCAGATAAATATATAAATAAATCTTAAAAAAGACAAACAGCCATCATCTAGAACTAATGATGTAATGTATGGGGATTAACATAAGAATAAACAACAACAACAACAAAAAACCAAACAGCCAGAATCAAAGAATCACTTCAAACAGGGCAACTTCTTTAAAGATCTTATCTTCCAACTTACATCAGAATTTGCGTGAGTAAGCAATATATCTTTATTGCATTAAGCCACAGAGATTTCAGGACAAATGTCACTAAGTTCAGCCTAGCCTATGCTCACTAACATAGTTGAGGTACATATTAATCTCTTTGTTTTGCCACATTAAGCTTTGTGGTTCTAGTGAGTATGTAATACAGGTGGGTCTATCCCAGTTTTCATTGACCATTTGACTTTGAGCACATTAATATGAGAAATAGCCTATCTATAAGGTATTTCTAGTAATTTAGACTTGTAATCACTGAT